CTTACAGCTTGTTGCAGCAGAAACTGAAATAATTAAGCCATGATTTATTATAAATCTATGATCTACAGAATACCATCAAGCTCTAAAAATGTCTACTCAAAACCTTGGCCAATTTTCTTGGTACTTAGATTATTTTTTTCTCTGAGACATTAGCTCATCAATTTAGGAAAAAAAAAAAAAAGAGGGAAACAAAGCCTAACAAGTTAATAAAAAAGTTCCTGTTTTTGGTAAAGAAAGGAGTTTCAGTCCTGGCCTAAAATTCCCTATTCCTCAATGATTAGTTTCATCTTCCCCTTTCCAGCACCTTCGATATTAAAGAAATCTCAACATTAACCTCAAAAATTTCCAAATTCTGGTGTGAATAAGATCATGACACTATATTGTAGACATTTTCCTCTTTTTAAAACTTTTCTTTTATTATGAACTATAACAGAGAAAATCTCAGGGTGAGGTCAACTGTAACCCCACCATCCTAACACTAGCTACTCTCATTTCGTGCGTGTTCATTTCCAGTCTTTTCTTACTATATCTGTATCCTACTTATTAGCTGAGGCTTGTCGGCTCCTTATAATCTAGACTAAATGCACTCAATTCCTGCTGAGCCACGGCCTGTGCAAGTCCAAAGCCTCCTGGTCCCCCAAGGTTTCTCTCAATTACTAGGAGAGCTGACATCCTCAGCACCCTTTGAGGTACCCGAGTACTGTCTGTTCTGCACTGCACCAGTCCAGACACAACACAACTTCCTTTGAGTTCTGTAAAAGACAAAAACAAAACCCAAACACATGCAAAAGACAGTCCTTAGCATACGACACTTCAGTGAAGACTTCTGGAGAAAGGCAGAGGAGTGGCACACACCGCAATAAAAAAAAGGGAACTGGAGGTAGGAACGTTCTTAATCTCTCTCCATCTTCCATCCTTGGCGGAGAAGTCTGTAACTCACCTCTTCCCTAGCCTTGCATCATTTTTTTGACTTTTCTCCTTCTTTTCTCTCTCTCCTTCCCTATTAGGAACAAAACCAACAAATCTGTCCCCTTGTTTCCTGTCAAGCAGCTTCCTCCACTTCTGACCTCTCAGCCCTAGCTAACATCCATACTCATATCCCTAAGTGAGCTTCATAACAAGGCAATGCCCCAGGGCAGTTCCTTCCATAAAAAGGAACTCCGGTGCCCATTGCTGTGACAATACATCTTTCTTCTCCCTATCTATTTCGGAGGTTTTACATAGTCATCATACTCTACATATAACTATATAGTCTACTAACTGAACAAAGATTTTGGACGCTTACTTATATCCGATGTTGTGTAAAGCACTGGCGAGACTGCAGCAGACAAACTCCCTGATGCCAAGCAGCGCAGGGTCCAGAGGAGGCACTCGGGCAAGTGAAGAAGCCCAAGGTGCAAGCACTACTAGCGAGGGATGAGGCAGACAGAGTACCAGAAGAGAACAAGAGAGCATCTCACTCCATCCAAAGGTTTGGGGAAGCCAGGCACTGATGGACAGCAGGGCAGGAAAAAAGCCTGCACACCAGAAGGAAAAGCATACAAAGGCACCGAGAAGACAGAGAACACGGCCTATCTGGGAATGTGCAGTTAGTGCAGACGGGCAGGTGCAGGTGAAGGAAGGGGAAAGAAGGCACCACAAGACACAAGGCAGGAACCAATCCATGAAAGACTGTTTGATTTGAAAAAGTATGTCTTTTGTTCTAAAGGCAGTAGGGAGCCAAGGAGAGATTTTAAGCAGAGGATTAAGATAATTAGTTCTGTGGCTTAGAAAGACCACCAGCAGTGGTATGGAAGATGAATCTGAAAGGAATTGAGATGGAAAACAGCGAAGCCAATGCACAGGTTGATGCAAGGGTCAAGGCCAGAAACCATAAAGGCTATACTCACGTGCTGAGAGCAGGGAACGAAAGTGAAAATAAATTCCCTAATGTGTTATTCACTAACACTACTAAGCACAAAGTGAAAACATTGGAAATTACTAAAATTATTAAATTCTGAATAGCTATAGTGCAATCTTTAAAGTTCAAAATGATAATCCTTCAGTGACCATGAAATCAGAGAGCACTCAGAGTAAAAGACAAGTGAAGACTAGTTTTCAAAACGCTGCAAATGAACTGTATTCATTTGTCAAAACTCACAAATTATATCTCAACAGAAAAAAATTAGGGCTATACAGTAAAAATCATGAAAATATTTTTTTTTTTTTTAAATCATGAAAATATTTTTTAAGCATGAATATTACAAGGAAGACATTTTCAGATTCAACAAGGATTTTCTTAATGTTTATTTGGGTATTGTTTTGCACACATATCTATTTCCTTAGCAAAGTTAATGCTTGCTTTTTAGAAGCCACATATTTCTAAATAGCAATATAAATCTTCTAAGACTTATTTTTCAAAATGCACACGTTTGTGATACATCTTACACTACATCATCTAGGCAACTTGTTCAATTTTATAAAAATAGATTATTTATTAATGCATTATTCTTAAGTGTTGCAAGTTTTTCTGTCCTGGCTGTAACAGCATGTGATTTAATAGCATATCACAATTTAACATGCAGCTTTGTGTGTGTGTGTGCCTGTGTATAGATTTGGTGAAAACAAACTTTATGAATTAAAAATAAGCACATGAAATGTCTATGGGACTTCCAAATGAAGATGGCCAGTGGACAGTAGAGAATTTTACTGTAGTCAGATTATTTGAAAATTCACAATTACTACAAAACATATAGCTTTAAAACAACAATGACCTGAATAGTTCATTTCTTTGCCATGTTATATGACTGAACTTAACACACACAAAAATGTGAAGAAAAAGATCATTTAGGGAACAACATAGCAGATCAAAAGGATTTCACTGACGTTTTTAGAAGACTTATTTTCAAAAGCAAGTTCCCTTTGTGTTACTTTATAAATCATTAGCTTTCTGACAGTTTAAAGACAATTGTGCTTTGAACCCAAATCTAGATACACAAAGAACAGAACTGCACGGCATTCCTTATTCTTAAGGTATACTTTCATTTACAATACAAGTCATGCTTAAGTATTTTGGCCAGCAAAAAATTAGATAATTTATAAGTGATAAAAACTTACAACCATTACAGCAAGGCTGTAATTCCAGCTTCCAAAGTGCTACCAAAATTATTTTTATATTTGTTGATATATTTTAAATTATACCTTCCATGAAAAGATATAAAAGTTTTTAATAGTCCAAAGTAATATTCCCAAGGATCAGATTTCAATTTGATGTAAGAAAATACAGCAGCACTTTGTTCCTCCTAAGTCATAACCTCATTTTTCCACTGCAATTCTACTGTCGCCTCTGCACTTAATTCTATTGTGAGAAAGTACTTCATCAACACCCTTTCCTTCTTCTATTTTCCAGACTACATACTGCTAACAGTGCTGATTTGGTTTCTATTAGCACTTAAATGTAGCAGCCCTGAATCAAATTTCAGCTGGCAATAATTTGTGCTTACAGCTACAAACTTTCATAGGGTTACTGCCAACTCATTTTTCAAGAATAATCCTACTTTTTAAAAATGTTAATTTTCACTCATAGTGAACTATCTAATTTAATGCTATGAACACTGGGGACCAAGGAAATTAAATTCATCCTGTCTTGTCCCATCCTTCCTCTCCTATCTCAGTTTTAACTGTTTTCTCCACCACAGCCATGCTCCAAACCCAAGTCTGTGATTTAGAAGAAAAAGGTCCAAGAGTGCTCTGGGGGGACTTACAGGCACCAGACCTCTATGGCAGCATGCTCCCCTGCTGTCCCTCCTTATTTCAAACATGAAGTGCGCAACCCATTCCCCTGAAACCAAGTTGAGCAATTAACGCTTCCAATTTTATGACAAGGGTATCAGCACAATTACGTTGCCATATAAAAAGTTACAGATGTTCTGTGCCTCTAAACAATCACAGTGCTCCCTGGTCATTTAAATTTTTTATTCTATTTTAAAATGATTTCAAAATCCAAAGTTGCAAAAATAACGGACAACTCTCACATTCATAATCACCAATTTTTAACATTCTACCACACTGGCTTTCTTATTCATACACTCACACATATACACACACACTCACACACGTATTATTTTTCTGATCTACTTCAGAGTGGTTTGCACACATTTCCTAAAAATTCTCTTAAGTAATCTCAGTATAGTTATCAAATTCAGAAAATTTAACATTGATAAAATACTTTAATCTCTGGTTCCTATTCTGATTTGTCAATTGTCTGATGTGCTTTATGATGGTTAATTTTACGTGTCAACTTGGCTGGACCACAAGGCACCCAGATATTTGGTCAAACATTATTCTGGGTGCTTCTACGGGGGTGTTTTTAGATAAGATTAATATTTAAATCAGTGGACTCTGAGTAAAGCAGATTGCTCTGCAAAAAGTTAGGTGTTTACAGCAACACTCCATCATCAAATGGAAGTAGTCAACATGAGACTGGACTCAAGCAGGCCCTGAAGGCACAAGTAAGTGACACGAAGAAGTGGGCCAACTTCCTTTGGTCCCCACTCCTGACACACTACCTTCTCTCTCCCAGCCTGCACCTACAGTCTTATGGGGGTGCCCTAAGACCAACTGACAGAAAAGACAAGACTCAGGCCTGGTTTACCCAAAAGTGGACAGTTACAACACTACAAGTCCTTTCTAGGACATCCCTGAAGGACAGTGGTGAAGTGACCATGTGTCCAGTTAAACAGAAATGAAGACTGTGATTGTCATGAGTATTTCTTCCTTATTTTGTTATTAATGTTTGTGCTATATCTTTGTTCTCTTCCCTCTTATCAACTTATCATGTAACATAAGATATATTGACTTTATATCATAGTCTTTAAGTTAGAGGATATCAAGGAGAAGAGTAAACTTCACTCAAGGACTTCAAATCCTCTTCTGAGGAAAGGGTTGGTCTGTTTTCGGTTGTACACAGGATAGCTGTATCATGTTAGCCAGAATTTGTTATTGTCTGTACTTGCAGATTAAGTACGATTTAAGGAGATGCATATGGGAGCCCAGATATTTGGTCAAACAGTCAAACATTATTCTGTATGTTTCTGTGATGGTGTCTGGATAAGATTAACATTTAAATCTATGGACTCTGAGTAAAGCTGATTGTCCCCTGTGATGTGGGTAGGCCTTACCCAATCAGCTAGAAGCCTGAATGGAAGAAAAAGACCAGCTTCCCCCAAGGAAGAGAGAATTCTCCAGCAGACTACCGTCAGACCGGAACTGGAACATCAGCTCTTCTGGGTCTCCAGCCTGGCGGCCTATCCTGCACTTTTTGAATTTGCCAGCCTCCATAATCACATCAGCCAATTCCTTATAATAAATCTCTTTGTACACACACGCACGCACGTGCGCGCACACACACACATAGCCTGTTGGTTCTGTTTTTCTGGAGAACCCTAATACATCCTTTAACAGCACTTTTTCCTTGAGTACAAAATCCAGTACATAATCACATATTGCATTTATTTTGTCATGTCTCTTTAGTCTCATTTAATCTGGAAGACTTCCTCAACCTTTCCTTGTGTTTTATAACAGACTTTTTTGAAGAATAGAGGTCATTATTTTCTGTTTGTTTGTTTAAATAGAACTTTCTGTTTGACTGAAGTTTCCTCATGATTCAGGTTACGCATGCCCAGCTGGAAGACTACTTAAGTGATGTGTGCTTTTCAGGGTATCACAACCAGAAGCATAAAATGTCAGTCTGTCCCTCAGTGGTGACGTTAGTTTTGATCACCCAGCCAAGGTGCTGTCCAGATTCTCCATTACATAGGTACCAATTCTCCCTTTGCAATAAGCAATCTGTGGGGAGACACTATACAGCCATGAAAATATCCTGTTCCTCATTAAACTCCTGCATCTAGATTTAGCATCCATTGATGATTCTTGCCTGAACCAATCTTTACCATAACGGTTACAAAACAGTAATTTTCCAACTCTTCCATTCCTTCCATATTTATCAGTCAGCATTGTACTGCGAAAAGGGTTCTCCCTTCTTCCTATCTATCTATCAGTCTATTCATGGATTACTATTTTTTCAATGGCTTAAAATTCATTCCTGTCCTTAATTATTTTGATGGGCAAATTGACCTAGATTTGGTCAGTGTAAGCACCTTCAAGCTGGCTTCTGTATCCTTCTGATATGCCCTCTTCATTTTTTTTCTTTCCTTTTTTTTTTTTTTTTTTTTTTTTTTTTTTTTTTTTTTTTTTTTTTAGCACTTCCTTGCTTTCTCTCATAAATAGATTTGATTCCTTTTAATGGGAAATGGTATTAGAAATCAAGCTCTGGATGCCAGGTGGACTCATTGCTGCTTGCCCTCTGGGCTCTTTCATGAATAGAGCTAAGAAATGTATATTTGTCATTTTATATATATGTAAATCTGCTGTACATACACTTATGCTGTACATGGACTTATGCTGTACACATACGTGGATGTATGTTTCCAAATACTGCAAGGGATGCCTCATTCAGTTGGCTTATAACCATTTGCTTATAATATCCTAATGTAGAAATTATTTGTGTGTGAAATCATTTGACCGTAAACTTATTTGCTGGTTTAAGTCAGCCCAAATGAACCAATAAGCATATGGCCAACTCACTCAGAACAAATAAGAATGTAATGAGCACAAGAGTAATGATATTCTAATGTTGAACCAAAGGAATGTGAATTATATCAATAATGTCCATGTTTCTAGCTAGTATACATATTATAATGTTGAACCAATGGAATGTGAAGTATTTCGATAATGTCCAAGTCTCTAGGTGGTCTGCTACGCTATCCTAAGCCACTTCTCATTAAACAGTCTGTGTGCTCATCTCCCTGTGTCTTTCCAAGAAACACCAAAATGTCAGCAGCTAAAGGACACCTGGTGGCAGATGAAGCAGAAAAAGCAGCCGAGCAATTTGAGGAGTCAGGTCGTATATCCCTTTCCCACCGCCTTATTAGCTTAGAAATAAACACTTGAATGTGAGAATGTTTACATGATTTGCATGGTTTCTTAGTTCTGCTTCTGTGAGCTACATCTCAAAGAACTAGATTTTTGCTGTGACCTCAAGGAAAACTGCAACTGAATCTAAAATAGGGAACAAACACATACATATCCTTACGCGCTAAGCATACTTCTGCAATATAAATTACAAATATTTAGGTTTACATACTCTTATTCTATCTGTGGCCCCATCCTTATTTTAGTCCCAGCTGTATAAATAAATATTAAGTGCTCACCATCAGAGCTTTTCCCCAGTCTGTCTGGACAAAACTCATTGCCTAGTAGATTCCTCAGGAAGACCACTAGTGGAGGGTATTCTTCGAGTTCTTGCATACTTAAAACTTCTTCTGTAGCCTTAATCTTGAAGGCAGTTGGCTGAATATAATTCTTGGTTTGCACTTCCTTTCCTTAAATTTCTTTAAAAAAAGAAGTTGTTCCAGTGTTGCCTTGCTTTGTATGTTGCTTTTGAGAAGTCTGACGCCAGCTAATTATCCTACCATTGTGTAATTTATTTGATCTTTTGGCCTTAAGCTCTGAGAATTTTTTTATCTTTAAAGTCTAATAGTATTACTAAACTATGTCTCAGAGCTGATCACTATGGGAGCCGCTCATCATATCATTATCAATTTTTCCCAAGACCCAGTGGCCATTTCAACATGTAGACTCAAGTCTTCTCTTATTTTTGTGATTACCTTTCTTGGATAGTTTATTTTCCTTCTGTAAGGATTCTGGTTGTACATATGTTACATCTTCTTTGCCTGTCCTCCACTTCAACCACTTTCTTTCTGACCTTTTTCTTTCTTCATCTAATTTTTAAAAATTTGTTTCCTTGCTTTTCTTTAATGCCTCTTATTAAATTTTCATTTGAGTCTATTCTTCCTTGGAGACTATGTTATTTAGTCTTCATCTCTGATGTGATTCTGTCTTTTCCTTCATTTTTTTTTCTGAATTCAACCAGCTCTCATTGCATTTCTCCCCCCCGCCCATTTTTTTTGTCCATTTCTTTCTTAGTTTTTGAATATCTGATTCAAGGTGTTTTTTCAACATCGCCTAATGCTTATCTGAGGATATTTATTCAGTTTGGAGTGTTCTGTTCCTTTTGCTCTTCTGCACAATGGTTGGATTTAGGGAAGACTTTGCATCAGCTGGAATGTTTTGATTTTCATTTTGTTTTCTTTTTACAGAAGCTTTGTATTGAATTTTTTTCTATTTCTAGGTATTTGGTGCACAGGATTCCTAGTATAAGAGGGCCTTATCAGTTTAGTGAGATTCACACTTTGTTTCACGGATGATAGGAGGGACTGTGTATAATTTTTCTTGAATCTGCAAGACCTGTAATTTTCTCCTTTGCTTTCTTTCTCTTTACTGGCCACATTCCCAAGATGCCCATCCCTTCTATATTTATTCTCCTCCAGAAGCAAAGCTTCTTGAACGTTGCTAATTCAGATCCTGCCCACTTTCAAGCTCTTTTCTTTTTTGTTTTTTTGGTTTTTTGCTGAGGAAGATTCGCCCTAACATCTGTCGCCAATCCTCCTCTTTTTGCTTGAGGCAGATTCGCCCTGAGCTAATATCTGTGGCCATCTTCCTCTATTTTGTATGTGGGTCATCACCACAGCATGGCTGACGAATGGTGTTGGTCCATTACTGTCGACACTTTCTTTTTCTGAGGATGAGTTTTGCCTGTGTTAGGTCTAAGTTTTCTGTGCCTCTCTCCTCTTTTTCAAAGGGCTTCTTAAGACTCCCCTCTCCTACTCTATGCCCCACAGGATTGCTGCAGCAAGAGCCCTATTGGAATTTGGTGCTGTTTTCCTTCCTCTACTTAGACATAATCTGAAAATTATGGTATGCCCTATCTCCTAGCAAAGCTGAAGGCATGGGTCATATGTGGTTTTGTTTAAGCTTCTTGGTGGTCTTAAGGGGTTTTTTTTGGGGGGGACGGGGGGATGTATATGGAGATTTGGAATCAGGGCAACTGTCATACCCTCCAGACCTAGAATATCTATCTTTGCTCATTGTTAAAGTGTCATTTCTGGAGTTCCCAAAAATCAACAAAAAGTCCTCAAGGCAAACTGGAAGTTTCCAGCTGGGCTGGGGAGTCTCTTAGAGATGTTCTAAAAGTTCAAAACCCTCTACTCCATCTCCACCTGACTCCAAATGCCACTATCCTTTTTCTCTTAAAAAATGGTGAATTCTTTGCAGCTTCATAGTCTTAAAAAATTCTGAGATGTTTCATACAGACTTCCCCTACAGGAATATTTATCACTCAGAATCATCTAAACTATACTGCAGTAACTTATTACCCCAAAATTTCAGTGGCTTAAGACAACAGTTTATTTCTCACTCCTTCTGCGTGTCCATCGTGGGTTGCCTAGGGGTTCTGTTCCAAGTCTTCTTTACTATAGTACCCAGAACCACAGAGAAGCCACCATCTAGACTACTACCAGTTGCTGAAGCCGTGGGAATACAAGCTTTGAAGGGTGTTCCACTGGCAATCAAATGCACCATTCCTGACATCTTGCACGTAACTTCTGATCAATTTCATCAGCCAGCACTAGGCACATGACTCCACTCAACCACAAATGGTCTATCTTGTGCCAAAAGGAGAATCAGAAATTCCTACAATAGAAGCTTCATCTTAAACCTAAAATATCCCTAAATATTTCTGTAAACAGCAATAAGGAAATGTCCTTCTTAGCATGTGAAAGCTAGATTGATTCTTAATATTAAAATCAAAGAAATCATGTCCTAATGAAACGCAAATGACATGCAGTAAATCCAAATAAAGCCTGTCAAATACATGTAATATTTTAATCGGCCAAATGACGGAAACCAAAATGCCTTGGAGTTTCCAGAAAACAAATTTAGTTATTGCCAAAGCAAGCTATTGCCAACTTTAAATTATGCGAGATGACTGTGTCCATAATACTCTTATAGGAGAATTTGCATGATTTTTAATAAAGGGAATCACTAATATATGCACACATAGGCTTACATTTATATTCACAGAGATGTTTACCTACATACAGATTTACATGTCATATTAATCACCTGCTTACATAGCACAAATACATCAGCATATCTGAAGGGGTAGTAAACACGAAGGAAGGCATTTACTTAATTTTGTACTTATAATAGTTCTTAATTTGGGCTATACAGCTGAAAGGTAAAAAGGCAAGTTTTAAAGCAGCTATAATATCTGGATAATAATTCATTGATAATCATAAACTTTTTTTTTAATTCCAAGACATCCGTAGTGAAAGAAGATTAACCACAGAAAAAGACTTATTCTTTCTTTGTTGTATGCCTGTAAAAGGGAATTTTAAAGGAATATTATAAGAATAAAAAATTGAATACCCATAGACTCCTCATGGGAAATAACACAAAAAATTCAATTTTGCTTTCCTATTATTTGCTTTATTATTGCCTTTCATTTTCTATAACTATTAAAATGTGGATGAAAAACATCCTAGCTTTTAAAAAGTGGTTTCTACTTTTCTAAGTTGTCCTTATTTATGAAACTGAAATTGACTCTGAAAATAATGGGAGAATAAAAAGATATTAAGATTTCACATAGAAAAGGATAGCAAATAGTCAGTAGCTAAGCAAAAAGTGTATCTATAAAAATACTGTCTTAATTAAAAAATTAAAACCCAGAGGATACTTTAAAATATTTATTCTACAACCATTTAACCAGTTCTAATTACATGTAGGCACTGCACAGAGCTATCTAGAATAGGAGTGGCTTAGAGCCTCACTGCGGAGGTTACAATCCAGGCTCCATTTACCAGCTATGCACTCTCAGACAAGCTGCTTACCCTCTCTCTCTGCACCTCAGTCAGTATCCTCATCTGCAAAATGAGCATACCAATAGTACTGGCCTTATAGGATTTGTCATGGGGATAGAAAGAGTTAAAATATTTAAAATTGTTAGGAAATTCAGTGCCGGGCAAAAACCAGATATTGTATAGATTAAAAAAGATAACATATGTACATCATTTGGAATGATGCCACATATACAGTAAGTGCGCTATATACATTAATTGTTGCTGTAATTCATAGAAAGGAAATCATTTATTGACTTCCAATTTCAAGATGGTGAAGAGCTTTCTATATCCTAGTCTTTCAAAAAATTGCTCCCAAACAACACAGTAAACAAGAAACAGAAACACACTTCACATTCAATAATACCCAAAGACATCTATAACCCTAAGCTACGATGCATGAGGATAGAAAACATTTGAAAGAACAGTAAATGACTCAGCAGAGGGGAGAAAGGTCAAGTCAAAATGCCTGCAGAGGAAGCTGTTCATGCGAGCAAGCTGAATTACCCCAGAGGACCCCAAAAAGGCTCAGGATATGGAGGCACCAGTAACCATGGACAGCAGAGGACTGAGAGAAGGGAGGCAAAGAATGAAAACGGGAAATGTCCGAAACCCTTTTAAGGAGCTTTATTCCCCAGGTCCCGACACTCACACGACGCAGGATTAATAATTTCAGGAGGAAAAGAAACAGATTTGAGGGTTATCAGACACAGTGAGGGGTGAGGATGAGGTAGGAGACTGAAAACAAAGAATTAAGTAGAAGTCTACATATCCTCTGCTGGCTCCAGAAAGCAGAGAGCCAGGCTAGTGCTCCCCAAGTGGAAGACTGGAGGATCCTTCTCTGGAGAAATGGACAACCTGAGTAAAAGACGTTGATATTGACATGTGGGGTTCCCAGCGAAAAAGCTCTACAGTGTAAGCCTCCAACTAAAAAGGTAAGTATCCCTCACACAGAGTTTTTAACTAGTGTTTTAGTGTCTCACTCATGTTAACAGTCAACGATCACCAGACAATTGAGAAAAAAATCCCTCAAGTGCAAGACACCAAAATAAATAGAGAAAAAGAAGGAATTCAGAAGAAAGAGAGGCAATTCAGGGCACAAGGAAAATAAAACTTGGTAGAAAGTATAATTAATTAATATCCTTAAAGAAATACATTTTAACCATAAAACAGAAACAAGGTGCAATTAAAAAGGAATAAATTAAAACAAGAAGCTCTTAGAAATTTTTAAAATTTGAAAAAAAGAATGTCTGTTAAAGATCTGGATGATAAAGTTAAAGAAATAGGCCAAAAGTAGAGTAAAAATGCAAGGAGATGAACAATAGGAGAGAAAAATACAAAAATTACAGAATAATCTTGGAAGCCTAATATCTTAACAGAATTCTAGAAAGAGTGACTAAAAGAACCAAGAGGAGGAAATTTCAAATATATAATCCAAAAACTATCCCCAGAACTGAAGGAGTTTTAAAGGGTGCACTCAGTACCTAGCATAATGAATCAAAAAGTATCCACATCAACCCATGTAAATGTGAAATTCCAAAATTCCAAACCAGGGATAAAGAGAAGATCCTAAAACCTTCCTGAGACTAAAAAAATAGGTCACACACAAAGCACTGGGAATCAAAATGGCATCAAACTTCTCATCAGCATCATTAGAAGCTACAAGACAACAGGATATGTCTTCAAAATCCCAAATGATAATTCAATTCAGAATTCTACACCAAGCCAACCTATCATCCACATGAGAATATAATGAAGACGTTTTAAGATTTGAAAAATCTTTAAGAAAAAGAAAGCCATGGGATCCAGGAAAAAGGATTAAGCACATCATTCCCAGGATGACAGCAAAGGCAAGTCCCATGATGACAATTATGCAGTAGCTGAGGGGGCAACCAATCCAGATGGAAGAGGACAGAGGGTTCTAGAAGAAATGACTTCAAGAAAAAAGTAGAGCTCCTGGGTTAACTCATCTACAGAAAATCATACTGAAAAGCATTTTACCGAGTTGTTAAAACATGTGGAAACACTTCCACTCACAGAAAAGTAAATGAATGAAAAGACTGGGGTAATTTAACTCAAGGAAAAACAAAAAATTTATACAAGGAAGGAAATAAAGACATAAAACACTTGGCCCAGCAATGAATATTTACAAAGCCATTAAAGATTGAATATGGATCGGGCCGGCCCCGTGGCTGAGCGGTTAAGTGCGTGAGCTCTGCTGCTGGCGGCCTGGGTTCAGATCCAGGGCGCGCACCGACGCACCGCTTCTCTGGCCATGCTGAGGCCGTGTCCCACGTACAGCAACTAGAAGGATGTGCAGCTATGACATACAACTATCTACTGGGGCTTTGGGGGGAAAAAATAAATAAATAAAAAATTATAAAAAAAAAAATTATAAAAAAAAAGATTGAATATGGATTCAACCAAAACCGTAATATAACCTCATTAGACAGGTGGGCAGAGAAATACAGGAGGTCTAAAGCTGATGTCTCAAGAGCTTTATAGTGTCATTTAAAATTGGCAGACAATATTGGAAGAAAGTAGAAACTGGGAATGGAACGGCAGATGAGGGTCAGGAACTGCCGATTTTGTTTTTGCCTTTGGTATAAGCCTTGTAGTGCTATTTGACTAAGTATCTACCTGGATTAACTTGATAAAAATATTTAAACTAAATAAATAATATTTATTGAGTACTCTTTGTGGCAGATACTACACGCTGGTCCACCTAACACCAAGTTCCACCACCTTCTTCCTTGTCTAGGGAGGTTGAGAAGCTAAATATTCAATTTCACGGCTTCCCTGGAAGAAGGACGGCCAAATGACACCGTGTGGCCAAAAAGAAAACATACAGAAAAGTCTGTTGAAGAGGATTTTAAATCCTAAATAGGAAGAAAACACCTCACAAACAGAAAGTGTTTTCCTCTTACCCCGCATTGCTGTCTGAACACGGACAGTCACCAGCAAGGACAAAAGTCACACGCTAGGGTCGGCATGAGCAGCAAGCCTGAAAGAGCCGGATTCTTAGGGGCATGGCTGCCTGACTCCAGACTTCTTGTTATGTGGGTTTTTTAAAATACTATTTAGTATTTAAACCATCGTAGTTGAGTTTTCTCTTACCAGTTACTAGGTTAGGCAACTGGGAAACAAAGATGAAGAAAACAGTTTCTCTTCCAAGAAGCTTAACCAATAAACAACCATAATACTAACAAATGCACTACAGCCAAAATATGGTGCCGGAAGAAATCACAGGAAAGAGAGATCACAGCCAGTTGAAACATCAGGGAAGGCTTCTCAGAACCCATGGCTGACTGCTATGGGTCCTGCAGAACTGAGGGAGTTTTAACAGAAATGTACATTCCATGTTAAAGAAACAGCACGAGCAAATGTGCAGGGGAAGGACAGCATTTTCAAGGAAAGCAAAGGCTTCTGAGTTGAAAAGACCTAGTTTGAAATCTCAACCATATAATTCACCAAGTTTACGACCCTGGAGAATATATTATATTTGCAATATATATATAAAACTGATAAAGGATTACTATCCAGACTGTATAAAGAACTCCTACATAAAAATAAAGACAAACTACCCAATAGAAAAACAGGCAAAAGACACAAACAAGCACTTCACAGAAGATGAAATCCAAAAGGCCAATAAGATGAAAAATGTTTAACCTCATTATTAATCAGGAAAATGTAAATTTAAAATCACAATAAGGTCACAGTGAAATTCACACCTCTCATAGTGGCAAAGATTTTTTTTTTAATCTAACAATAAAAACTGTTGGACAGAACGAAGAACAACCAGATTACTTACACACTGCTGGTGAGAGTATAATTAATAAAAATATTTTTTTTAAAAATCAGTACAATCATCCCTAGGTATCCACGGAAGACTGGTTCCAGGACCTCCCATGGATACCAAAATCTGTGGATGCTCAAGTCCCTTAGTAGGTCCTCTGTATTTGCGCATTTTGCATCCATGGAGTCAACACAGATCCAGACCCTATGGATACGCAGGGCCAACTGTATTATCCAGGAAAGCTGAAGATGTGTATACTCCCACGACTACTAGATTATTTGACTTCTGGGTATACGTCTTATAGAAACTCTTATACATATGCACCAGGAAAGATGTAACAAAAAAATATTCACAGCAATACTGTTTTTAACAGGAAAAAGAAAACAATTCAAATGTCCCTTCAGAGTAAAATGAATAAATTGTAGTCTTCATACATGTAATAGTTTAATACCATAATAATGAATAAAATACATCTACATGACACAACATGGATCAAGCCAAGAACATAAGGCCAGGTGAAAAAAACTTAAGTTGCAGAGGAATGCATACAGCAGGATTTTATCTATCTACTGTTTAGAGACTTACACATATGACAAAACTATAGAGAAAAGCAAGAGAATGATTAACACAAAATCAAGATAATGATCCCCCCTCTGGAAAGGAAGGGATGAAATTGGGGAGCAGTCTCTAAGGTACTTCAAAAAGAATATTCTTTTTCATAAACTAGGTGATGGATATATAGACGATTGTTGTAGTATTATTCTTGGCACTTTACATATATTTTTAATCTACTCCATAGTTTAAATAATTCTTTTTTTTGAGAAAGATTAGCCCTGAGTTAACATCCATTGCCAATCCTTCTCTTTTTTGCTGAGGAAGACTGGCCCTGGCCTAACATCTGTGCCCATCTTCCTCTGCTTTATATGGGACACCGCCACAGCATGGCTCGATAAGCGGGGCATCGGAACCTGCAAACTCCGGGCCACTGCAGCAGAGCGTGCAAACTTAACCGCTGTGCCACCGGGCCGGCCTCTAAATAATTTTTTTTTAAACCACATGGAATACACTTTGGACAAGAGTCATCCTTATCACCATACAAAAAAACAGAGAAGACAAAAGAAAATACAGATAATTTAAGATAGAGATAAAGAAAATGACTGAAGCAAACACAAAATAACCTTAATCTTTTCAGTCAACTAAGTCAGGGTTTGTTACTAAAAATAAGGGAGGTGGAATTTATTCTCTTGTTCATCCCCTCAAATATCTGAGTATCCACCATGTTCCAGACACTGTTCTAGGTGATTAGATACAACTGTGAACAAGAGATAGAATCCCTGTCCCCAGAGAACTTTAATGCCACAGGGAGTCCAAAGCAACAGGGGAATAAAAAAGTTTCAGAACAGCCAACGTGAACATAAAAATCTCAAAAAGCAACTCTTAAGCAGAGTGGGGGCCCAGCCAAATAAAGAAAATCAGAAAGATTTCATTACTGCTCCAGCAACACTCAGAAACCCAAAAGAGACAAAACTGACTTTAAATTGTAACTCAGAATTTTAAAAGATAATTTTTATGCTGATTTACAATAATACACGCCAGTCTCAAAAACTTATCATCACTACTGAAAGGGTATTGCAATGTCCACGCTAATCGAGAGGTTAAAGTTCAGCAAATCAAACGACTCAGTTCAAATACGAGCCCCCAACTGAACATGATGTAATCTATGCAGAAATAGAAGTACAATGATGTACACCTGAAATTTTTACAATGTTATAAACCAATGTTACTGCAATAAACAAAA